CTGTTCAACCAAAAGGAAATCTAAATAAAGGAATTGTAAAGGAAACCGCCAAAAGAACCAGCCAGGTGTTTAGTATTATTTGAGGTCTGGAGTAATTGAAGGTTTGGGCTGCTCGTGGGGAGTGGTCTTTGTGGTTTGATTTCAGGTTCCAAATGGCAATGCCCAAATAAGCAAATTTAAAAGGAAAATGCAGCAGCCACATCAAAATTCCAGAGTAAAGGAAACCACAAAATAATCAGGTTTTGGAATCAGCTGAAAGCTCAGAATCAGCTTGGATGAGTCAAGGTCTGGAAGCAGCTGAAAATCAAGGTCCAGAAAACATTTTGTATTATTTGAGGTCCATTTATTAGGGGTTTTTGAAAAGATTTAGTATTATTCACGGGCCATTTACTATTAGGAAGTCAACATTACCAGACACGCCCTGGGCTGCCTCAGCTTACGCATCTGGGGCGCTGGATGCAATGTTAGGCCAATCCATGTCCTTCCCCTCGTCTGCAGAGATGAATCTTCGCATTGAGGTCCCGGTGTGGTCGGATATCGCTAAGGCGAGGCAGCTCCCTCCTCAGCCAGATGCTGAGGAATCTGATGCTGACACCAGATCCCCGCGAATGGCAGAGCCCGTGTGTGTGTGTGTAGTCTTGCTCTGCCACAGCCTGGGTTCATAGCAATGAATGGCTGGAGGCAGTGTTCCAGGCGCAAAGCGCCCAACGAAAAAGAAAACGCCAAAGGCAGATAGTGGTCTATCCGTAGATTTCAATGTCCAGCAAAAATCCTGCGAAGGCAAAGTGACTGCTGCAGCGAAGACAGCAAAACCATGTCAACTCATGCTTCCGTCAAGCGGACAAGCCAACAGAAGGAACATCACAGCCGGGTGCGGAAGGAGCGATGAGGCGCCTCAGGAACCGCAAAGCACTCCGCTGCCTATCAAGCGCTGAAGCAGACCAGGCCACTGCAGCATCAAAGGTAAATTTCCAATCAAGAAGCTCGTGCGCAGACCGAGCGGCCTGTTCCTGAGCTTTGGCGTCGGCTCGCTTGTTGAGGAGTCTCCAAGTCTCAGCCATGTGGCCAGCAAGGGACGGGGTCCAATCAAGAAGCTTATCGTGCGAAGGCACCCACGCAATTTCGTGGGTGGAGCAAACTAAGCTTAAGGCCTTCCACAGGCCCGGCGCCCACTGAGGCAAATATCCCGTCGTTTGGATTTGCTTCACACGTCTGACGAGTGCAAGGTTATCGCAAACCAACAGAAGATCTACGCGCAAATGAGTCGCAGCAATGAAAGCTTTCAAAACAGCAACCGATTCAGCGCCAAAAATGTTTTGATCCAGTCCCTGGAGACGGGCAGCAAAAACCCGGTCGGTTGTTGCGAATGGCAGAGCCCGTCCGTAATGTCTATGAGCCAGCAGAACCTCCGTCGGATGATGATGAGCCGATCACCTGGTTTCACCGAAGTGGTGAGGGATTGGAGACACCAACAGGTTAAACCGTTCCACTCAAAAGCGGAACAGGTGGAAAGTAGATTCCATCCGCTTTGCCAGAGGAATGGCGCCTGGAAGCCGCCAGCCTCATCAGCAGCTACGTGAAAAACTGCATGTTCGGAGAAGCAAGGCCAGGCGCGTCGGGAGCCACAACCAGCATCGAGCGCTTGGAGTAGCGGCCCACTGGATTGGACTTGAGATTGTGGTACATAATCAACGCATCACATTGGTCTTGATTCAGCTCGCAAACAGTTTGGTTCGTCGTGTTGTGAGGAAAATCGCCCAAAAGCTGCATCGTCTCCCACATGAGCTCAAAGAGGAAGTCGCCAGATCGCATAACATTGCGGACATGTGTGGATGGACCATCGCCTTTCGTTGGGTGTCCCAATTGCAGTGCCATGAGGACCTCCAGCAAAGATTGAATCAGCATGCTGACCTTGCTGAAGCCATTCGCGCATCTGAGCATGCTTGGACTGGTTCCCGTGCTCCGCAGCATCTCTTCTTTTTCGCTCAGCACGTCCGGGCTCATTTCTTGCAGTCCTTGTCGAACCCTCCACATGAGGTCTTCTCTATGTGTTTTGACTCGATCGCTGCTGGATTTCCACCTGAATTGCGTGACACCATACCCTCCGAGGATGAAGGGGATCGGGATGAGTCTTCGGATCACTTCCGAATCAGGAGGCTCGATGACTTCTTTGAGGAGGTGCATTGGTTGGGCAGTGATGAGATCAATTTCCTGCTGCCAATCTTCCGTGTGCTTGATCCAGCGTGCCTGTTTGTTCCTGCACTTGAGTGGGATTCACACTTGCACCAGCTTCGTGTCATCAATGGAAGTGCTTTTGAGCCCAGCTGGCTTCGGCGTGCTTTTCTTTTCGCTGCAGTGGATGACCATTGGATTTTGATTAGTACCTTCTGTCTTGACTGGCAATGGTACTTCATTTTCCATTCAGCTCAGTCTGATTTGACCTTGTTCTCGCACATCGCATCTGAGCTTGCCCGTTGGTGGCGCCTACCACCGGATGGATTTCAGTTCACATTCCAGCACCTGCATCAACCACACGGCTTCTGTGGCTGGGCCGTCCTTGGCACTCTTGCGCAGCGCATTGGATTTCATCTCCCACCTCCATCTCCGGAAGTGCATGCCATGCTTGAAAACCATGACCTGGGTGAGCTGCACATGATGCGCAACCAAGCGCCCGCTGCATTGCAGATTTCGCCTTTGTTGGACTTCGCAATTACGGTTCGCACAGTCTTTTTGGCTCAGCTCATTTCGCCGTCCTCGGATATGCAGTATCGCTCAGCGGGTGCAGTCTCCAGTGAGGCCAAACAGCCATCCAAGCCTTCCCACCAGACTGCTGATCCTAAGCAGGACCCTCTTTGGATCAAAGACCCCTGGCAGAAAGCTACGGTCAAAGCCAAATCTGCAAAGTGGGACGAACTGCAACTTGCAAAGGATCATCCATTCGTAGGGGCGGATGGTTCCCCTCTCTTGCAGCGGCATCGTCTCCAGGTCACTCCCGCACAGGGAGGAGTAGTACTTGCAAGCAAATCTCATTTGGCTGATCTCCTTGCCCTCAAGCCTCAGGTGCCCACGGCTGTGCTGCTTCCGGTTGCAGACAAAGCAGTTTACGGCGAGCTTGCTGACAAGGTCCAGGCGATCCTGCCCGATCAGACAGCTACAAGCGTTTAGTGCATATGCTAGTATTGCAGGAGAAGGTGATCTACATGCTCGCTTCGCCCATCACAACCATCAAGACTGACGAAGTAGCTGAACTGGTTGTTGAGTTCGATTCCCGTATCGCCACAAAGGACTTGCTTGGGGACCTGAAAGACCATCCGATTCCAGCTGTTCGACGGGCCTTGGTGCGCTCATGTCCACAGAAAGTTGCTGATGGCTGTTCGTTATATGGCTACCGGGTCAACAACAAGGTTGCTGGGAGTCAAGGTGTGACACCACCACCGTACCAGATCCAATGCGTCTTGAAGCTTCCAAAAGCTCACCGTGACCTTGCTCTTGAAGCATCTGGCAGACATGCTACCTTCATTCGTGACTACTTGCAGAACGACGCAGATACGCATCCTTCCGACACGACAGTCATCCTTCGCTTTTGGGAGCACTCGCCTGCTGGTTATCATGAAGCCTCCCTGACAACACAAGGGATTGAAGGCCACGCAGGTTTGGTCACTACCAAGAGAGGTATTGCGCTCAGAGTTTGGATCAAATCCATTGCCAGTGCCCGCCGGG